AGAAGAGGACAAAAAGAAACCCTCTGAGTTAACTTCTGCAGCACTAGGGAATTTAAAATACTTGAGATTAATAATATGGACAGTATGAAGAAGCAGTATTTTATCAGTTTCAATTATTAAATGAAAACAAGCTGTCAGCTTTTTGGAAAAGAAAAAATAAAAGGAAAACTAATTTTTATAGTGATGAGTACAAATTTGAGTAAGCAGATTTTATAGCCTCATGAAAATTTCCTGTATTAAAACTTCATTTTCAAGTTCTTCATATTCCACAGGTCCACTAGAAGAAAGCAGCAAGCTAAACCTGCTCTTGAAGATATACTGGGAATGGCTGTTATTGCAGAAAATGGTATGTGTACACACAGAAATGTGTACCTGTAAATTAGCTGTGGATTATGCTTATTTCCAAGCATCCTTACAGCCACTGGACTGGAGCAGAGCTCCAAGATTCACACAAACAGGCCTAGCCCTGAGAAGTGAGATGTCTGGGGTAAAGAGAAAATGTGGATATGAGGCAGTTGAACTCTCACTGCCCATTAAACTCAAAGCTTTTATCATCAAGTCAAGTAAAATGCATAAAAACCCCAAGCCCACTAGTGATTCAGTAGAAGGCATGGTGCAATATAGACACTGAGAGTCAGACATGCAGGTGTCACTGGATGGCTTGATATTGTTAAAATTTCAGGCAGAGAATATACTGTGCTTCAGAGAAACAGGAATGTATGAAACACAAAGCCAGATAGAAAACAACTATTCAATTCACTTGCCAGCTGGAAGCCTGTGTTCTGCTGCATCCTGGAATGACTTTGAACATTACTGCCTGAATGTATGCAGCAGTTTAACAGATAAATTCTTAGTTCAGGTCTCTGAATCCAAGCCTTCACACATTCTACAGCACTATGGATTCCATTCAATCTGCAATGGTGACTCATCAGCTGCTCCCCTCTACTCCACTCGCTGATATATCAGAAAAGAAACGAACACAAGAGCCCCCAGTTATAAGCATCAGTTTTCTCATCACAAAAATCATCTCCTGTGATCAACTACCTTTATTACACAAGTGAGCAAAAGACAGTCCAGGAGAAGAAGAAAAAAAGAGAAAAAAATGAAGCAAGAGCAACAAAAACGCTGCTTTGGCTGTCTACAAAAAGTAACTAGAAATGTGAATGAGAGCACTCAATTTCTCTCTCACTGAGAGAGAAATTTTACATTTTCTGCTAGCAGAGTTTGCTAAATGAGGTAGCTATGGCCACTATGACAAAACTACCTAGGAATCGTCAATGAGAGCACTCAATTTCCTTAAGAAATCATGGACATTTTACATTTTCTGCTAGCAGAGTTTGCTAAATGAGGTAGCTATGGCCACTATGACAAAACTACCTAGGAATCAGAGCATAAGCGACTTAAAGTAAAATTTAGAAAAGTTTGCACTTTTATTATTTGTTCATACAAGCACAGAAAGATGAGAAGCTTTCATGCCACATGTGGTGCCAATCAGAGTTTAAACTTTAAAGAAAAAGAGTTATTGAAAAAATGTCTACAAGTGGAACAACTTTGGAGAAGCAAAACTGTAAGTCAACTAATTTTGGGCTGATTTTGAGCAAATGATTACATTATTTGTTAACCTTCACTTCACAAAACTATGTGCCCTATCTAGAGATTAACATTTGGCATTCCAGTCTCTTTCAGTTAGATAACTCCAACTGCTTTCCAGGTTCTTAAAAATGAGATGTTAACACAGCTAAAAATAAATACTGAAATAGCAGAATTAGCATGCCAGACACAGGCAGGTTCCCAGAACAACCAGGCATAGAACTATACACACTGTTTGAAAAATAAAAATGCTGTAGGCAAATTAGAAAACCTGTCCCAGCAAACAAAAGAACACTACATGGTGGGTTTTTCCAGTTGGTGTTTCAGGGTGGGGCCATGAGATGTTGGAGGTTTAAGGGATTTTTTAATGCAGTTTGTACTTAAAATAAGAACTCATTTGTTACTATAAATAATATTTCATCTGGCAAGTTTTGACCAATATGACTGTTTATACAGTAGATATTCACCTGCCACAAATTGACTGAAAACCATCAAGATGCTGATCAGCTTTACACCTTTTCCTCAAAAGTACTGAAAGTGTAAAGAAACTGAAAATAATCATGCCAGGAAGTGCTCTGTATTAGTAACAAAGTTAGTACAAAACCGTCTAAAGGAACAAAGCTTGAACACAGAGGAAATGTTTGATAACAGAGGAACTGTAAACACAGTTCAAGAATCCAAGCAGACAGAAACTCACATACTGAATCTGTCCAATACAGAGTACATAAGACCTCTCCTTTTCCTGTGATGGTGTGCTTCAGGAGAAGCATCATGACTTGCAAGTGAACAACAAAGACCAGGTATTCTCATGAAAAACATGGCCATGGTCTTCTCTTGCCAGTCCTCAGATCTGATATTCTTTTTCCTAAATACATGCCAAATTTGGGGTTTTTTAACCCCCTCTTGGATCAAGGCCTTCCCAGAAAATGCAATTTCTAAGCAAGAATTAGAATTTCTTCTATAAATCTGTACATTTTCCAAAAAATTGCATCACTCGAATAAAGGAAAAAAGGTATTACATGAAGCCATCCTATAAGCTCTATATAAATGGTAAGAAAGAAAATTTATATACAACAGGTTGTATAGCACAAACTAAATGAGCATTTGGAAGCAATCTATGATATCCTTCCTAGCTCTGAAGGAAGAAGTCTCCAGTTACTGAGCACTAAGGATTACCTGACTACGAAGAGAGAGGAAAAACAAACAAGTGTAATCTTCTTGACAAGGATCACAGCTTGAAGAAGAATCTTCCAACTTCAGCAAGGACAATCATCCAATTTAGGTTCAAAGTGTCACATAAAAAGCTGTCAATCATTATAAAATATTTTCTTTGTTTAATATCACTGCAATTTCTAATCTCAATATCCTACTTAATTACATAACATACAAAGCAACAAATTAAAGGGTAGTAAGTCTTATAAGAGCTTCAGAAGACCATGCTATCATCCTTGCACAGTCTTCTCCTCAGTCTCCTTCCCAGTTTTAAGTAACCACTCAGCTTATCAAAACAGGAAGAAAAGGACCACAGTGATTGCTTTAGGATTACAGAGAGAAAAAAAAAAAGCCTAACTCAAAGAACCCCAAGAGAGTATAAGCCACAAGACTACGCAGAATCATAGTGTGCAAAGAGTCTGCAAGAATATCTTTACTGAGTTTTTACCCTGTTTCCAAATATTAACACTGTTCTTTCTGGGGACAGGGAGGCTGGCAAAAGGAGTGGAAGAAGCAGGTAGTTATAAATCCATACACCTGGACTCATGTTGTCTACTGGTAACAGTATTTAATATTCTTCCAGGAAAAAACAAAACAAAATAACAAAAATCACACCACACTAAGGATAGTACTAATAATTATTCATACACATACACTTGAGAGCATGTCTTCCAGGAAAAAACAAAATAGCAAAAAACACACCACACTAAGAATAGTACTAATAATTATTCATACACATACACTTTGAGAGCATCCATTTCTCTCCTCCATGAAGCTTTTAATTTTGACGTATCATTTTCCTTCATGAATTGCAGCTGGGTGTCTCATTACCGCCCTATCAAAGTCCCCTTCCGTACCTCTCACCTTGCCGAGGGCCAGGCTGGACTAAGGCCCCGGGTGGAGATCCCGGGCGGCAGCGCTGCCGCTGGTGCCGCCACGCTGGGCGCGAGTGGGCAGGGCAGGGCAGAGCCCGCACGCCCTCCCCGGGCCCTCCCCGCCCTCCGGCCCGCAGGCAGCGCCGTCACTGAAGCCGCTCGGGCCACGGAAGCGGTTTTTGTGTCCGCATGACACACGGCAAGCGGCACCGCCGGCCCCGGCGAGGGAGGGCTCGGGAGCCGCACGCCCCCCGAAGCCACCGCTCACGGGGGAGAGACAATAACAGCTCCCCGTGCAAGCCATCCCCGCCTATGGAGCCAGGGCGGGGGAAGGACAGTGAGGGTATTATGGCGAGGTACCTACGATGAGGGGCGTATCTAAAGCATCTGCGGACAATTTCCGAAATGAATCAAAGCCACGCAAGGGAGGAAGCAGAGGGTTAAGACAGCGCCTTGCCACCCACCACTCCCCCTCCCCTTAGGGCGCTGAACAAGGGAAGCTCCAGACACTCAAGAGGCCTCAGGAGCCAGCCTGTGTGCGGCGGGGATGGGAGCAGGATCGGGATGCTTTCCTCAGTCAGTGTGCGGAGGGGAAGGCAGAGGGATCAGGATGCTTTCCTCACCCAGCAGGAGGACGTTCTTCCCCGAAGGCAGCTTAGAGCGGGAGCGCGTGGACACCTCGCTGAGGATGCAGGACCTGGCACGGAAAGACGACAACGCTTAGGAAGGGTCTCCCGCTTCCTCCCGGTCCCCACCCTCGCCATCTCCTGGGGATGGGGGGGCTACGGCATGAGGGGCGGGGGGCAGGGCAGGAGCTGCCACTGCCAAGGGGAGGTGCCCCCCCCCGCCCAAGCTCAGTGACTGAGAGACACTGAGCGCCAGCGAGGGCGGGGGGATTATCCTTCCCCTCGCCCCCCGCAGGGCACCGAGGCGCCCCGAGGGCGGCGGCCAGCTCGCCCGGGGTCCGCGGGGCGGGGCGGGCACTCACCAGAGGTTCTGCCCATCGTCCTCATCGCCCGCCCGCAGCTCCGCGTTGTTGTTGTTGGCCGTGCCCGTAGAAGCGGCGGAGGAAGCAGAGGAAAAGCTGGCAGCCGAGCCGAGCCCGGAAGAAGAAGAAGAGCCGAAGGAGCCAGCTCTCCCCACCGCCGCCGCCATCTTCCCTGCTGCCTCCTCCTCCCTCCCCTGCCCCGCCGCCTCCCCGGGACGCGGAGCGGGCGGCGGCGCCGCGGCGCCGGCGGGGACCCGGATGTTGGGGGGGCGGGGCCGGGGCGGGGGCAGCGGCGCTCCCCTCAGCCGCTGCGTCGGCCGTGTCCCGCAGCCGTGTCCCGCAGCAGCGAGCGGCTCTCGGCCCGGCTCCCTTCAGCGCCGCTCCCGCGTGCGAGGTGTTGCCATGGGCAGGGCCCTGCGCCGTGCCGCTGGCTCCCCGGGCAGCCCCGGCCCTGCGGGAAGCGCCTCGCATCCAAGAGAAGTAAGTGCGGCTCAGGGGCAAGGTGTGCCTGTTGGGGAGGACAGGGTGGTCATCCTCTCCAAGAGGCCGCGTTACTTGGTCTTCCCTCACGAGTATCGCTTGAGAATTCGGCAAAGATGGGTCACATCGCCATCATTTTAACAGCTCGGCTTTGGATAGAAGTTCCAGAAGAAGCAAGCAAGTGTGCCAACTTTCTTTATGTGTTTCCTAGGGTAACACGAGAATGGTGGTAAATTCTGTAAAAGTGCAATGGGTGAGTTTTGTCCCTTAAGGGGAGTTCAGGGAAAACCTAATGCAGGGGATGTTTCCGTGTGTCTCCCCGCTAGGGTAACACAAGAATGGTGGTAAATTCTGTAAAAGTTCAATGCGTGAGTTTTGTCCCTTAAGGGAAAACCTAATGCAGGGGATGTTTCCGTGTGTCTCCCCTTTTAAACAAAGGATGCACATTCCCAGAGATTCTGGGTATATGGAAAGTTACTGGCTGTATTAACGATGTAGGTGTGCCAGCAGTTTGTACTTTTATTTTTCTTGCTGCTGTGTTGATTTTTTTTTTCCCCTGGAAAACACTGATTTTAAGTAGTATTTTGAAATAGAGGAAAAAATAATCTCTTTTTCTTAGCCATGTCTTTCTCTCAATGGCTCTCAGTTGCTTTGCAACCCAAAATACAGACATTTCTTCCACGTGTTTGTTGTTTTAGTAGGGATCAGCTGTTGTAATGTGTAGGTTACCATTCATGAAAGTGTATTCCTTTCAGGTACTTCAGGTATAAAATAAGTGAAACGATGGTAGACATATGCTGAATTGGAGGTATTTGTCACAAGAGACGCAGAGTTATTGATCAGAAGTATTTTGTCGTGGACAGAATGTAGGTGCAGAAGACTCACCAAGTTTTGATGTTGATACATTATCCAATAAACAGGGACTACTGAATAGAGGAATGCTGCTGAAAAGCTGCCAAGAAAAAAACCTTTCTGCATGACCCTGCAAGGCCTTCTTGTGGCCTGCTGTAAACTGCCTTCACCTGTTATCTCTGGTTTTCATTACTGTTGGGTAACTGACTCAAATCACAGAAATATGGAAAAATTGATGACTGAAATGGCTGAATAACACTGCTAATTTAATGAGCCGATTCAGCCTGTGGAAAGCATTTGACAAGCGGCAGAACCAATACAAAGGATAGGGAACAGAAAAGACCAGAGAGTAAGGGGAAAAGAAGGGTAAAGTTTGAATTTGGAAAGAGTAGGATGGGAATGCTTTTTCAGTGACAGTAAACAGATCAGCTCAGCTCTCAGGTTTCTAAGAGAAAGGCAAAAAAACGCACAAAGAGCCCCAACAGATTCTGGAATACTTTTCCTAACAGAAACAACTTCATAGAGTACAAACTTCAGACACTTACTTCAATCAAAAGAGTTAACATTGCTTTTAATATAATATGAGAAATTGATTGCTATTTATCTGGGTGTGTGGATTTTAGATTTTTTGTGAAACTTTATTTAAAAGGGGAAAATCACTGAAATTTTATGAATTAGCTTTAAATGCCTCACTTAGAGGCAGTGAAAGTAAGGAGCATTTTAAACTACTTCGTGTTGCTTGTTATTGTAAATTATGTTCCTTATCATATTGGTCATATGTGAACTATATTCACTTGAGATATGTAAATAATATAACCCTAGGACTTTTTTGAAATTAGAATGTAGATGACAGAAGTAATATCTAAATATGTGAAAGCACTAGGAAATAAAAGGCTACAAGAAAGAATGATAATAAAAGCTTGCTGCTTTTTGCTGAGTTAAGAACACATTGCTGTTGAGAAAAGACAGTGCAATTTTCCTGATTTCTTACTGTTCTAGAGGCTAATATTGCTATCTGGGAAAAAAAAAAACCACCAAAAACAAACGGACAAAAAAACCACCCCCTGGTAATTATTAGTTATAAACCTCCCAAGGATTATTCACAGTGAGAGACCACCTCTTTTCTTTCTCCCTTCCTCCTTCCCCTGACATCCATTCATTCTGGAGTCTTTTTAAGGTGGCTTTCACTGCCTCATCCTCTTGTCATGGAGGATTTTGCTGTGTACCTGTAAAGGGATGTGTAGTTAAAATTCCCTGAGGATTCACTTACCAGATTGTCACACATGAAGTTTTGATGATGGCTGTGTGATGTGTTTTCTGCCTTTAGCAGAAGGCATCCCACCCCCTCCCATTCTGCCCCCTCTCCATTTTATTTCTGTCTCGGGAACTGCAGAGGAGAAAGTGAAAATGGAAATGCTTGGTCATCATGCTTTCAGGTTAGGTTACAAAAAAATCGGGATGGAAGCAAAAATGTTGTGAGAATCAAGGCTTCATCAAGTGCAGTGTGCTGATAGAGTATCCCAATTAAATTATTCATAGAGTTAGCAGTACAGCATGATAGGAAGAGGAAATGTAGGAAAGCTTTAATGAAGCAGCAGTAGAAAAGCAGGGGGGAAATCAGTAATACATTTTTTTCCTTTCCTACCCTGTGAAATAACTTTCTGTCTGCCAAAATGATCTTGTGAATGTATAGTGAAAACCACTCCATGTAGCATTTTCCAAAATGTAGCTGTGAACAGGAACGGATGTTAATGATGCCTAGCAAACATTAAAGCCTCATTTTCTCCTACCTCACCCAACCTGTAGCTATTTAGCCAAGGTCATTAAATACAAGGCCTTACCTACTATCAAATTGTAAGTTTTGCAGTTAAGTTTTGATTTGATACTATGTTATACTCAGTGGCTGTTACACTTGCAGAGATAGGTATGACTATACAATACAAAGGGAATGAAGAAAAGGGTCCCTCAACTATGCTGAGAAATAACATTTTTTCAGCTGATGGCTGTTACAGCCATTCTAACTGGAAACAGCGCTGCCAACAGCTAACTACCCACATGCACAAGAGTAAACTGCAGCAACATCTCACTGGTGAGATAATGTAATTTCCTAATACAGGCAAGCTCTCCATCCGTCCCTCTGTGAGCTGCCCTGGGGTGATGGTGAAGGGCAGCCCAGAGCCAGCTGTGCTGTGCTGACCAAGGAGGCACCAGCAGGGAGACACTTCCTGTGCACAGCAGGCCGGTGATCCCAGGAGTGAAGTCTCAGCTTCTCTCACGTTCTGTGCCTTTTCACTTTCTCATGTGTTTTGACTATGCTGTGCTTGTTCTTAACAGGGGCTCCGTGTTGCCTGTCTCTCTTTGCTTAAAAACTTTTGTCTGAGTTAGCACTGTATGAAATTCAAAAAGTGATGGTCCAGCTTCCCTGTCTGCATCTATTGTCAGTGGCCAAATACTATAAAATTGGTTGCAAATTTAGAAGGCATTTTTTTCATAAGCCTGTGGAAATGAATTGTTATAGTTCAATTACATTTAAAAGATCCAGCTGGGGTTCTTAGGAGGCTTTTGCCTTTAAGGCAAAACTGGCTTCTTAGTGATGTTGACCTTGTTGAAATCAAAATTACAGTGGTTACTGTGCTCAATACATGCTTGTAGTTTGCTGTGCAAAAAGCTTCCCTTTGAAAAGGCAGCAATGAAGAAGCAGAATACATAAAATCTCCAAATAGAAGTTTTGTTGCCTTTGGCTGTAATGTATTCAAAAATATAAAACTAAGTATTTAAAATAGAAACACAGGGTGATTTGTCATTATTTGCTGGTCAGAATTTGTGTGCAGTTAATATTCAGAAATTCATGAAGTTGGCAATGATTTTTGAAAGTGGCTTTTTTGTAGTATTAACAGTTTCAGTCATCTGAAACTTAATCTTGAAAGTGCATTACTGATCTTGTTTGCAACATTCAAGTTATTCTGTCAAGAAATGAAAAAAATACTGTATGACTTACCTGAATAGTTGTAATAGCACAATTTGCAAATTGATTACTTCAGCACAGAATTAGTATTTCAATCTGTATGCTGAAATTTGTTAATATAAACTGTATAGATAATACTTAAAAATAACAAACATGTCTCAGGAGCCTTACTGGGATTAATTTTAAGAAATACTAGATTCTGACCAGTTTTGTGTATCACATTTCTATTTTTCATTTGTCCAAGTATAAATCTTGTTATTCATCCAGCAATGGTTTGTGCTGGTTGGTAATATAAGCTCTGCAGACTGTGCAGCTATAGACCACTTAATTCTAAATTTATTTTCTATGTCCCACACTGTTAATTCTTAAGAATGGTCAGGAGTAGCTAACTGTGAAGCAGTATATTATGGTCTGCTGAAAAGGAGATAAAAACTGTTGTATTTCACATAGAGCAGTGTTTGATTTCTTGAATCTGATTTGTTACCAAAACATCTTAAACTTATGTTTAAGTGCACCCTTAAATTTACTTGGAATCAATGGGATTTAAAATGTGCTTTACATGTCTCCCTGATGATTAAAAATATGTGCTTACTATGAATATGTAGAAGATAAATAACGATGGAGGGTCTGATCAGCCAAGATCTGAGTGTCCTTGTTTTCTATTGGGAGACAGGTACATTCCCTCTCAAGGCACATTCAGCTCTTTCAGGGCCACATGGTGGAAGTACAATTGTTCCATTGGTTTGGGCAGGTTAATTTCTTCCAAGAGAGAAATGTCTCACGTTATTTGGTTTGGTTCTCTAATACAATGCTGTTTATTCAGAAAAAAATATGTATGGACAAATGATTTTTTCAGATTAATGTAGAGGCAGTCAGCAGCAGGCACTTCCTTGTGTTTTATTTACAATTCTGCTTTTTCAGCAAGTTTTTTTACCTCAGGAGCTGAATGACTGTTTCTCAAGGAGCTGGTTTTCTTTATAGCGGCTTTTTGGTTGCCAGGTGCCATGGCTACTTGGATAGGCTAACATAAAATAAGGAAGGATCTGTGTTTGTGGTGTGGCAGCTGCTTTATGCATGTTGTCTCAGGGTATCTGTGAAGATTTTTGTGTTTGCTCTGTCTTCAGTAGTAATAAGGTAAGATATCTTCCATTTCCTGCAAAATGAGAATGATACATGTGATTTC